AGGCTGGGGACAGAGATGGCCAAGCCTGTGTGCACACACATGCATGCTAAGAGCAGGTGTCTGCTTTGACACCTGTGGTCTTAGCACTGCAGAAAAGGATTTCAGCATCAAACGCGGGCGTCTGGCTGGTCAGGCAACAGACCATGGCTGCACAGGCCTCCCACCCTCCACGAGCCCTGGTCAGCCCGTCTCACGACTGCCTGCATGAGCCCTGGTGGCCTGCTGGCCACGTGCTGAGACGTCCCTGCAGGGGGGCCACAGGAGGCCCTGCTCAGACAGCCCCCGCTCGCCGCCCACCTTACCTTTGGGTAGCGCTCCAGTTTCTCCTTCATCTGAGCTTCCCTGAAGGCCTTGGTCACCAAGGGGGCTTCTTCCAGGCGTTTCCTGTGGCAAGAGGGGCGGAAAGCCCAGGTCTCCCCAGTCAGAACAGAGCCCTCAGGAGCCACTGTGGATTTCTGGCACCCGCCCCCAGAGGTTTTGCTAAGGGCACGGGTGCCAGGGCCCTGGGCAATGCCCAATCCTGGCAGTCCCTGTGCACCCTGGGGAAGACCAACCGGACCAGCAGCCAGAGGCAGAACCTGCTTGGGGCAAACCATGGAGAAAAGACAAGATGCTGAGGGGCTGGGTCACCCACCGCTCACTCTTGAGCTGGGCCAGGCGTCTCCTCACGTCATCCACAGTCACCTCGAAGAACTCATCGGGCAGCTCTGCTGGCCAGGCCTGCAGCAGGTCCTCCAGGTCAGGGTGGCAGACCACAGGGTCTCGGTCCACGGGCTGTGGGCAAAGGGCCTCAGCTGACCTGGGTCTCCTGGGGCTCTTGGCCACGCGCTCTCTCTGTCTCTGCCCACCCCTCCCAGTCCACCTGCCAGCACAGGGCCAGGGAGGACTCAGAACAGAGGCCAAGGGGACCAGCCCAGACAAGCTCCTTCAGGACTGAGCCCCGTCCCCCTCCCCCACTGCAGCACCCCGACCTACCACACCCTGATCTTGCTCCCCAGCAGGGCCTGTGGCCACCAGTCTAGCGCAGGCCAGGGAGTCCTGGGGAGTGGGTGGGGGAACTCGGGCAGCTCCCCTGCACACTTTCTGCTTCAGTGGGGGAACCCCAAGATTAGGAATCCACTCTGGAACAACACCCCTATTCTTGGCCACGTCAGGGGCTGCACACAGGGGAGGCGCAGTGACAGTCACCAAATTAGAGTGTTGGCAAAAACCCCAGCAGCTGTCCCCGCTGCCCTCTCAGCCACAGCCCATGGCCAGGCTGACTCCATCTCTCCCTCCCCTGGGGAACAAACCAACCCTCCCTCTGCCCACCCTGGGGACAGAGGAAGGGACAGCGTCACTCCTAATTGGCATCAACAGCAATGAAAATTACAAGGCAGACCCGCTCCATTTGCGGTGCTCTGGGAGGGTAGGACACCTCCCGGGGGCAGAGGCCACCCCACAGAGCCAGGCTTGACCGAGGTGCCCAGCTGGGCCAGCAGGGCCCATAGTGATCCTGTCCTCTCTCACACAGAACAACAGAGATATCAGAGAGGGAGGTGGCCCTAGGAACCTACCCTCTGCTCCTGCCCTATATCACAAGGGCCCCCATGGTCCCCAATTTGGCCTGGGACCCCCTTCTACTCCTCCAACACCTGGGGATGGGATGGCAGGCTCTGGGAACGGCACCTCCTTCCTCCCTTCCTGCAGCCCTCCAGCAGCTGGGCCAAGCCCTGGTCCCATGGCCCTGAAGGTGTCCTTCCAGGCCCAGGCTGGTCAGCCCTGCACAACATCTGGGCACCAGCACCCTCAACACATCCACACTGGGGGACAGCCCGACACACACCCGTTCCTGGTGTCTCGGGCCTACACACAGATCCTGCACATGGATGCCAGGTCCCTGTGGCCCACCAATCATATAGCTATGTCATGCCTCAACCAAGGGCTGAAGCCAGGAAGCCCCTCTGCTTGGGTCACAGCCTTGGAAGAATGGCCAAAGGAGCTGGCTGAGGCCCAGGCAGGGACCCGTACCTGGCTGACCAAGGCTCCAGGGGCTGCCCCTTCCGAGCCACGGCCATGCTGCAGCAGCCGCAGGTGGTCTTACGCCTGAACTCTTTACTAGCTGCCAGGCACCAGGTGCCCTGTGGCCAGTGTCTGCATTCCAACAGGGCCATGAGCTCGCTGGGGCCCCAGGAGAGGGCAGGCAGGACATGGATGGGCCCAGAGCCAGGAGTCTCCACACCCAGATCTGGCCAGTCCAGACTGAGATCCTGATGCAGATGTGGCCTCCAAGTCCCAAGCTGAGGGGCAGGTTCTGGTGGCCTGATCCACACCCTCCTCTGGAGGGTCCATCCCAGACCCAGAGGATCTGAGTCGACGCTGGCTGCAGCAGGCAGGTGACACAGTGATGGCGCCACATCAAGACGGTCCACCCAGACAGGCCCCTGTGCCCAGAACTCAGCAACAAACAGCAGAAGTCAGAGGCCAGCAAAGCCAGTCCCAAGAAGGGCATGCCATCCTGGGGCATCCAAAAAGGACAGTGGGTTACAAACACACCCACACCCTGGGAAGTACAATGGCCCTGAGTTTTACAGTCCCCCTGCTGGTCAGGTCACAGGGGCAAGAGCCACCTGCTTCATGCTGCAGGGGCCACTGCATTTCCGAGCTAAAATAAAACTGACAGAGATTCTTGTCTCAGACCCACCCTGGCCTCCCAGAGTCCCACTCTGCTCAGGAAGACTGTCCATCCAACAGGACCAAGAGCCAGGGTCCTGCTCAGGGCCAGGAAAGAGGATGATCGATGCATTTCCTGGACCCCTTGCCCACTGGCTTTCAAGGGCTCCAGGAGCAAGGTGCCCGTGGGAGCCTGCTGGGCGAGTTGAGGCTGCATGAGCAGCTGTGGACGGGGCCAGAAATCCCAGGAGCACTGGTGGCGTCTGTGGCTGGGCTGATAAGAAATGTCACTCTGCCACCAAATGGCAGTGGGAGAAGCCAAAGCACTTATGGAGAGTGGAGAGACCATGGCCTGTGGCCAGCCCAGGAGTTCCCACCACAGGGAGGGCCCTGGCGGACATCTCAGTACGGGACGGGAGGAGCAGGCCAAGCACCATCTCAAGTGCCCGGCCCTGCTCACTCAGGACGCTCTGCCCTGCGCCTGCTCTCGACTGCTGTTCCGTCGGCATCCACAGTTCCACACATGGCTCCTGCCCGATGGTTCTGGATGGAGACCAGGTCTAGGGAGGAGACACCCCAGCACAAGACAAGATTTATGGTGGTACCATGGGGACCTACAGGGGTGACTTGAGGGGCCTCCAGGAGGGCCTGATGTCCAAAGGCAGGTAGCCTTCTGGCTGGTGCAGACAGAGGAAAGGTGCAGGTTCTGCTGTCCCTGTGGCCAGGACAATGCTGAAATGAGCGATGCAAAGGGCAGTGCAAAGGCAGCGCAGGAGCGCGGGCCCCTCTCTCCCGGCAGCTTGTTTGGGAGGGCTGCAGAGATCTCTACTTCCACCTGGCTGAGGCTGGGAGTGGGCTCCAGGTCAGTAAGAGCTCTTGGTGGCTGCAGGGAAGGGCGTGGGCAGGAGGGGCAGCGCCCGGGCCACCGGCTCTCGGACGAGCAGTGGCACAGGTGAAACTTTTTTGAAGAGCCCAGAGGCTTGGTGTGATTCCTCTCCCCACAAAGATAGACTCTCCAGAGGCCGCAGGGACCCAGCCGGGTGGGCAGATGCCAGAGCGCCTGCTTCAGATGCCTCTCTGCAGCCAAGGTGGCTCCCATGGTGTCCAGGATCCACCTGCTCACCAGAGGACAGTTTGTCACCCTTGGAGGGGGCATGGCACCAGGCTGGTTTGTGTCTCACGCGTCTCTGGGCCCAACTTGTGGAAGAAGTGGCCTAGGTCCTCAGAATCATATCCTCGTGGTCAAAACCAGCCAGAAGCAGGTGTGGGAGGTCCTCAGGGGCAATGGGACCAGGCGGCCCCAGGCTTTTATCTTAAGTGATAAAAACTCCACAGAAGAGCTGGGAGACACAGGCGCCCATGTCCACGTCCACATCCACGTTCACGTCCCGCCCTGTCTGTTCTCTCACGCCTGTGCATGGGACGCTTCCGGCACCGCCCTGCAGTGCGCAGCTCTGCTGGGAACTCGGGGCTCTTGCAGTCACGCACTCACCAGCTGCACCCCAGGGCCTCCAGCAGCAGGGCCACAGTGCCCACAGCCCCTCCTGGACGTCCCTCTGTCTCCAGGTAATGGGTGCCGTGCCCTGCAGTTGCCACCCTCCCCACTTCCTGAGGCGTCTAACTGCCAGGGGGGAGCTCACTGGTCTGGATGGGAGGGCCCGGAAGGCTGTTCCTGCAGTAACACTACCAATCCGCGGGGAAGCGACTGGACTGGGAGAGTGTGCCTCGTCAGGCCATCCTGGTTGGAATGAAGGGACTGTGGAGGTGGGTGAGGCTGGAGAGGGGCCACAGGGTTACCCTGAAAGGAGCCTCTCCCTGGGCCCCGCCCCGGCTGCCCTCTTCCCAGTGCCGTGAGTGCCGCAGCTTCTTCCTCCGCACTTCCCTGTGTGGTCCTCGCCTCAGGCCCAGAGCAATGGGCTCGGCCAGTTGTGGACTGAACCTCTGAAGCCACGAATCAGAATGAAGTGGTTCTTGTAGGGTATTTTAAAGAGAAATAAAACCTAACTAACACAGTGCCGATCAAGTCCTAATCTCCTGAGTGGGTTCCAGACCTGGGCCCTGCAGGAGATCACAGATCCACGGGGAACCTCCAGGTGCTGAGGAAGGCTGAGGGAGGGGCTGGTTTCCACAGGCCACGCCTCCCACGCTGCTCCAGAGGCCTCCCCGCAGCCCCACGGACGGACGTCAGCACCTCCACCCAGAACGTGCACTGGCCTGCACCCAGAGCCCAGTCAGCTTCCAAGGACACCACCTTCCGCTCCAACCCCTCTGTGCTAGGAGACCTGGTCTCCTCACTGGTGCCCACGTGCTACAGCCAGAGGAGGGGCAGGAGGACAAACGGACCTGTCACAGTGGAGCCAGTGAGGGGCCAGCTCCGAGGCCTAAGTGTGCTAGGCTCCCCAAATCCTCATAAAAGCCTAAGCATGGAGGCGTGTGATGACGGGAACGTGATGGGCAAGGAACTGAGGTCAGAGGGAGCAGCTGGCCAGCAGGGGGGAGCTCCATGGATGGCCAGCCTCACTGTGGTCAATGGGCCATGAACCCCAGACTTAGGAGGAAACCCCCTCGATCAAGTGGTCCAGGGACCCTTGTTTCCTGCAAACTCAGAGACCTGGTAGACTTCTAGGCCACAGCCTCCAGTGAGGGCCACAGAGAAAGAAACTGGAAACGAAGCCAGGTGGGCAGGAGAAAAACCAGGAGGGGCCAAGCAGAGCAGAAGGCAGGGGGCCCCCAGCGGTCTGCAAACTTGGTGACAATGGATGCCCAGGCAGCCCAGAGGAAGGGCAGAGAAGACACTTAGGAGGGACACAGAGTCTCCGGGGGAAGATGGGGTACCACTGTGGGCAATGTCCAGCACCCCAGGCCAGTGGCAATGCAGATGCAGTGATCACCCCAGCAGGCAGAGCCCGGATAAGGAGGCCCACAGAGCCAGGACTGTGTGTGCAGGGTCTGCGGGGCACCCAGTCCTGGGGCTCTGCAATTGGGATCTTCCAGGACAGGACGGGGAAGGAACGCCTGTACCCTGCCTGAGGCCATTTCACTCCCAAATCCCAACTCTCCTCAAGGACTTGGGGCCCTTGTGCTCTCCCTCACCCTTCGCCTCAGCCCCCTGTGCAGACGGG